AAATCCAATGGCACGAATCTTTTCCCCTATGTTTTCTTCTAAGAGTCTTATAGTTTTAGCTCTTATGTTTCAATCTTTGGTCCATTCTAAGTTAATTTTTGTACACAATGTGAGGTAAGCATCCAGCTTCATTTTTTTGTGTGTATAAATTATAAAATACTTTTATCGTCTTCATTGGACAGATAAAGAAACTGAGGCACAGATAAGTCAAGTAATTTCCCTAAAGTCACACAGCTAGTAAATGATGGAGCCAGGATTCAAACCCAGGCAGACTGAGCTCTTATAGTAACCAGAGCTTAATTTTTGCTGCTTTTCAATTCTAGTTATTGTACCTTTGCTTTTGTGACATATGGCTGGTCAAATCTTTGATGTTAAATGGTTTGATCAGGAATCAAGCCTTGTTACAACATGGCAATGATGGCAAAATTCAGACCGCTTCATGATTCTCTTCCTAATGGCCTGATATCCAGGAACACATAATCACCAAAGGTATACGAAAGAGATAATATCATTTGCACAGAAGCTCAGAAATTAAACCTGCAGCAAAAGGGGTTGGCTGAGAGTGGCAGTGTTTGTACAAGACTGATTAAAGCAGGCTGGGGTTGGAGAAGGCTTCCTGTGCACAGTTGCAAGTGGCTCAACACCTCTCCCCTCCCACTCCACCCCCACCTCTACTCCAGCTGCACTCATCTGGCAGCCCCAAGGCTGGCTCTAGTCACACCTGCACAGGTGCGACGACAATGGGTGATCACCCTCTGCTCTAAGGCTTGGGCCTGCCAGAGCACAGTGACTCCAGCAAGCCCAGCTGAGGGGCAGGAGCTGCCAGCTGTGTCCTGCTGAGACACAGAGAAGGACTTCTGACTGGAGGGGGCAGCTCGAGGCACGGTGGTCAGCAAGACAGTACAGACATTTTTGGGTCTTTCTATTCATTGAGCTAACATCTAATGGGTGGTTATTAACTAGTCAGTGCCTGATACATGACCAATGCTCAACAAATGGTGGGTGAACATAGGAGTTGCCAGGGTGTGGCGGGGGGCGGGGGGCATAGCCCCTACCTCACAGGGTATACAATCTGCTCAAGGAAGCAAATTTGTGCCCCAGTGACACTTGACACAAGGAGGCTATGAGAGGAGCTAGACTATAATTTATTAATACACTGTCGGAAGGCAAAGAAGATTTTGTTTGTGTTTGCTTCTTGCTGGGAAAGTCTATTGTGGCTTCTTGGAAGAGGCAGAATTTGAGCTGAGTCTTGTTCAAATAAGTGGAGAGAGACCTTCTAGGCATAGGTGAGTGAAGGCCTGGGAGAAAGCCGAGGAAAGGCAGGGTAATGGACAGATGTGGCTCCGAGCTGGCAATGTAGCTGGAGAAGCGGGTGGGGTCAAATTACGGGGCTTTGCCTGCCAGTACTGGGATTTCTGGACTTCTCTCTTCACCCCTCTGTCGGCTCCTGCACACAAAGGCTGGCCACCCTCTGTGGTACGGTGGCAGCTGACTATCCAGGTCTTTCTTGCTTTGCTGGGGACTCTGGCACCCTGCCACCCCACATCTGCTGGGCGGGCGCACAGCCTGCATCAGCTCCTTCCATCCTCTGAAAACCCTCAGCTGCCAGCACATGCAGGGTGGACACGACAGCCAGTGAGGGGATGGGGACAGGGACAGGGGTCCCTTCGCCCCTCTGCATACAGAGGCCTGGCGGGCACTGGGAAGGCAGCCGGCCGGGCAAGTCCCTCGTTAAAGGAAGCACTCTCAGTGGAGCAAGGGTGAGAGGCCGCTCTGCACACTAATTACTCATTTCAAAAGAAACCAGAGGCTGGGCTTCACTGGCAGAGCCGAGGCAGTTCTGAGCAGTGAAACCATCACCGCCAGCCTCCCGCTGTCATTTATTTATTTCCTTGTTCCAGAAACTCCCTTCGCACTCCCTTCTGCCTCCTTTTATGTTTTAGAGTAACTTTGGGTGGTTAGAGGTCCAGGATAATGTTGGGGGAAGAATGGAGAAATATATACAAGAGGAGGGTGGGTGCAATAAAATAATTTTTAACAGGTTTTCCATCTATAGATATAATCTAACCATATTACTGAATTTTTTGATTTTAACAAAAAAAAAGAGAAGAAAAAACTTTCTGTAATCTTATGCCCAACACTGTAATCCCACTGTTGTTAGAATTTCAATGTATTTTCTTCCAGTCTTTCCACCGTGGTTATACATTTATAAAACAAACTTTTATGACACTGTACTATACATTCTTTCTTGTATCTTGTTTTTTTTCCACTTACCATATTATTCCACACATTGGAAACGAGTGAATAGATTTAACCCTGAGTGGTCTCCTTGCTAGCCCTAAGCAGACCCTGGGCCGCCCTCAGGGCTTCAGTGCATCCAATGAGATGTGAAATTTGTCAGTCAACTTGACACGCATAATTTGAGAAACTACTCAGAGAAACCAGAAAACTAGAAAAAAAATTAAAGAGGCTGTGGTAGGCAGAATAATGGACCCCAAAGATGTCTACATCCTAATCCTTAGAATCTATGAATATATTAGGTAAATGGCAAAGGCTGCTAATCAGATGGCCTTAAAACAGGCAGACTCTCCTGGTTTATCAGGACAGGCCCAGTGTAATCACAAGGATCCTTAAAAGTGGAAGAAGCAATCAAAAGGGAGAACCAGAGAGATGGCAGCATGAGAAGGACTCAGCCCAACGTTGCTGGCTTTGAAGATGGAAGAAGGGGTCACAAGCCAAGGAATGCACGTGGCCTCTAGAAACTGAAAAAGCAAAGGAACAGAGTCTCTCCCATAGTTTCCAGAAAGGACACAGCCCAGTCAACACCTGGATCTTAGCCCGGCGAGACCCACTTCAAGCTTCTGACCTGCAGAAGTGTGACAGCACAAACTGGTGTTGCTTAAAGCCACTACGTGTGTGGTCCTTTATTACAGCAGCAAGGGGAAATGAACACAGAGGCCAAGAGCAGCTTCCAAACTCTAAGCAAAAATGTATCCAGATACCCCAAATTCCAGGACAAGGAACTCCCTAACTCGTCTCGGCAACTCCTCGTCCCACTGAGCAAGCTGCCCAGTAAAGCTCCAGACCAAGTTGGTGCTTCAGAATACCCACTAATGTGAACCCATAAGGCGCTGTTGTCCAGATCAAACAGCGCATTGCACCGTCTGCACGGGGACCTCAGCCTCTCTGAGGAGGCCCGGTCTCACTGCATTCTGACAGAAGTCATATGAAGCAAAGATTCACAGGGAGGAAATCAAGTTCCAATTCACCAGAAAAGGCCTTGGGTCTGACAGCTCTGTATCCCAGGGCTTAACCCGGTGCTGGGCCGCAGAGGATGCTCAGCAGCTATTTACCGCATGCCCCAAGGAGGAAGCGGAGGGAGGGGAGGGGCGTAAGTCGTCTGGCTTCCGCTGCCCTCCCTACGATTCCTTCTTTCCTGACCTTTGGGAAAAGCCTCCGGATCTATGTGGGGCTGAATTTTTCAGGTTCTTTTTCACGTGAAGTACCTGCCACATGAACTATCCAGACATCAAGGACCAGTTGATGCTGTGTGTTTCGATTCTCAGCATTCATCTAATTTACAGATTTCTAGAGAGTAGAGCCAATGGAATAACAAGCCATGCTCTCTCTTATCTATTGCTTTATTTATCAGTTATCGATCTGCCTTATTTGTCCCTCTTTCTCCAGTGACCAGCATAGTGCTTGGTGCATTGTAGGTGTTTGAGGAATGAATGAGTGAACAGATGAATGTCCTGGAGACCTCTTTCTCTCTCCCCAGCAGATGTATTTCTTCATCTTATGGGCTTTGGCTCCCAGTCCTCTGGTTAGCAGAAGAAGAGGCTCTGGTGGTCTTGAATCCTCAGCTACAACTCTGGGCTGCCCTTCTGTGGCATTTCCATCCCCTGAATATACCAGAATAGAGCAAACCACAGCTTTGCCCAGCAGAGCAAAGACCCAAACCGTAAGGCCTTCCTCTCCCCATCAAGCAGGACTTATATTTCCATCATATTTTTCTTCCTCACCTGAGAATGGTGATTAACAGGTAGGTGGGGAGACATTGACTAGAAAGTGGCATAAAGGAACTTTCTGGGCTGACGAAAATGTTCTGTATTTTGTTTTGTGTGGTGGTTACAACGTGTATACAATTGTCAGATTTATTAAACTGGACATTAAATTATGCCTCAATTTAAAAGAGAAGGATTCCAAGGTCACAATCAGTTCATCAGTCAAGAATGCCGTGATCGATTGGTGATGTCTGCCACTGACAAGGGCAGTGGAGAGATGTCAACATAAGTACCACATGTTTGCTATTCTTGTGCTTAACTGGTCATCCTTAGAGAGTTTCTGCATCATTTAAGTGGTTGTAATATTAACTCGTCCCCCTTAAAGGACTATAATGAGGTGAAAGTTCTTTGTATAATATAAATCTCTAGCCAAATGTAAGATGTTATTATTCACATGTTTTCCCCACAAGATCTTGCAAATTGGGACTGACTGTGGCAGGTAGGTTCCCAGAAAATTCTCCCTGGCTGACATGAAATGCAGCAGAGCCAGATATTTTCAAAAGGCCAGGCTCCCCGTGAACACGGACACAGTTTGTCTGTTCCATTATTCACATCACAAACATTGAATGCCGATGCCGCGTTGTCAAGTGGGCTTTCCCACTGCTGTGCAAGGCCACTTTTTAAGGCACTAAAATGATTTCCACAGGCTGAACTAAGTAATGTGTTCTCTTTTGAGGCTCTTTATCCTTTTCTGATGTTCTGTCTCAAGATGGGGTCTGGCATTTCTCATTTCTCCTTCTTCCAACTGCAAATCTGCAGGGCCTTTCAGAGCTTTGCCGTGTGGGCTCTCGGTTTATGTCTGTTGGCTGAGGCATCTGTTTCTGGTGCCTTCCGGGAGTCTCCGGGATTACTGGTGAGGATTGTGCTAACCGGCCTGTATCCCTGGGAGGCCCAGGGCTCAGCAGCCATACTGTTTCCCGACTGGTGTCCCCACAGAGGGCGCAGGACAGAGCCTGGCAACCGTACCTCCACTTCCGAAGCCAACCAGAGAGCCAGGCCCGCCGGCAGATCCAGCCTGGGTACTCGGCCAAGAGATACCTCCGCGGCCTCCTGCGGACATGGCCCCCTGACAGCGTGTCCAGGCTCCAGAGCACAGGTCAGTGGGGAAACGGGAGCACGTGCTCCCCGAGCTGCCCCGCCTCGCGTCCTGGTGTGAAAGTGTGTTTTCCATCAAGGTCTAAAACGCCGAATTTCAGGAGCAATTTTGTGTTCAAGCAAAGGTGCTCAAGCTCAGTAGCCCATGGGCCTCTATAACCCACTCTCTATCCTCCCCAACCTTTGCAGAGGAGCTTCCAGCCCGAAGTCCCTCTCGCTCCTCTTAGCAGCCTCACACTCCACATCCCAAGCAGAACCTTCTTCCCACCCTTTCCTCCTCAGACTCCAGATCCTCCAGTTCAATCCCTATCTTTTACAAGAGAAAGAAAAAGAGGCCCAGAGGGGCAGAGTAAGTTGTCCGAGAGCATTCAGCCAAAAGCAGAGCTGGGACCAGAAGCCAGACCCTCCCCACACCCCCTGCTCCCATTTCTTCCTAACACTCCCCAGCTCCCCTTCTGAGGTGATCTCAGGTCCTGCAGGAAGTGAAAATGTTGGACCTCGTCCTCTTAAAGATGGCGGCTCTCCAGCACAATCCACTGAGGAGCGAGATGGACACCCTTCTGCTGAGCAGAGACCCCAAACATACTCTGTAAAGGTTTAAAAATGAAAACAGGAGAGCCGGGCCCTGTGGCTGGGTGGTTACAGTTCTGCACGCTCCACTTCAGTAGCCCGGGTTTGCAGTTTCAGATCCTGGGTGCAGACCTACTCCATTCACCAACTATGCCATGGAGGTGTCCCACAGACAAAAAAAATAGGGGAAGATCGGCACAGATGTTAGCTCAGGGCAAATCTTCCTCAGCAAAAAAGAAAGCAAGAAAGAAAACAGGAAATGATTGGGGCATGGAGTTGCCAGATGTAGTACATACACACACACAGTTAAACTTGTGCTATTTGGGGCATATTTCTACTGTAAAATGTTCCTTGTTTATCTGAAATTCAATTTTAACTGGACATCCTGTATTTTATTTGGCAAACGTACTGGGGATGAACGGGGTGAGCAGTGGGATTTGCCAGTGCTTACTGAGCTGTTTGCCATTTCTTCAGCACCAACAAACAGACAGGACCAGAGCAAGACTGACTTTCTTCTTGCTTTATAGGTTTACCTTGGGAAAGGAGAGAAAACAACTCTCTTTCCAATAAGATGATGACTTGAAGGAAAATGAGAGGTGTGGGCTTGTCCAGTAACTGGTTTTACTTTCATGGCAGGCCCGCAGTTACAGGCAGTTCCATTTACTTAACACTTGTGAGAAAGAGCTTCTTAACCAAAGATATGTTTATCATTGGGTGGAGCAGAGGGCAGAGCAGGTCACTGCCCCATAATCTAGGCCCAACATCTTCAAGGATAAGAGCCCCTCTTAACATCAAAAGATGTCTCAGACCCCTCTGTGGAAGTCATATGGCTACAATGTGTGGTTTAAGAAAAGATCCATGTGTCTGTGCATTCTTGCACCCCTTGCCATAATTCCTCACCAGAGCCCCTCTTGAGGGTGAGACCCTCAAGCTGGAGGGGCAATGGCAAGACTCTGGGATGAGATCACTGGCCCAATGACCTCTGCCACCCCCTCTCTTCACATCTCAGAGCTCACCACCTTTGTCATGCTAGTATATTCTCTAGTCCCATCTTTCCACTCCGGTGATAAATCCTCCCACTCCGGTCCACATCTTCTACAAAGACTTCTCTGACGGCTCCAGCCAATACTGAGCTCCTCATTGTCTAACCTTATATCATCCTGACACTTGGGGCCACACAGTGGAGCACAGGAGAGTTTTCTCTCTCCAACAGACTGTTAGTGCCTTTAAGAAGGACCTGTGTCTGGTTCTTCTGTATCTACTCCACCACCTCGTAGAGGGGCAGGCCCATTGGTAAGCTCTCAATAAATACTTGTAGAATGACTGGATTGAGAATCATGGGGCCTACAGAAGCAAGCAGGATATGTCCAGGAGAAACCGTTGGATTCTTCTCCTGAGGCAGGAGGAAACTTTTACTCAATCCCAAAGAAGTGGCCATGTTTCTTCCACCAGGGAGACCCTTGAGAATGGTGGAGTGGAAGAAACACACACATGGCTCTCTGGGTTCCATCTGATTTTTTTTTTTTATTCTTTTTTTTAAAATTTTTATTAAGTTATTGATAGGTTACAATCTTGTGAAATTTCAATTGTACATTAATGTTTGTCAGTCATGTTGTAGTTGTACCACTTCACCCTTTGTGCCCACCCCCCACCCCACCTTTCCCCTGGTATCCACTAAACTGTTCTTAGTCCATAATTTTAAATTCCTCATATGAGTGGAGTCATGCACAGATTATCTTTCTCTCGCTGGCTTATTTCACTTAACATAATTCTCTCAAGGTCCATCCATGTTATTGCAAATGGAATGATTTTGTTCTGTTTTGCAGCTGAGTAGTTTTCCATTGTATATATGTACCACATCTTCTTTATCCATTCGTCTGTTGCTGGACACTTAGGTTGCTTCCACGTCTTGGCTATTGTAAACAGTGCTGCAATAAACATTGGGGTGCATAGGACTTTTGGGATTGCTGACTTCAAGCTCTTTGGATAAATATCTGGGTTCCATCTGATTTTTTAATCCCTCTTGTCTTCTAATTGTCATCCTTAATGGGAAATGTCCCAAGCCAAGACTAGTGCAAGTGGGGAACCGTGTAGTTATCTCCAGACCTGCAGACTGGTGATCATTATTTCTACCAGTAACTCCTGACCTGCTCTTCAGGATTCCTCAAGGATTCTGTGCTGCTCCAGGACAGTCAACTTAATGTATCAAAGAATCTCAGGCCACAACAGGATCTTTCAGGGGTACCCCCAAAATACCATCTCCTGCCTGTCTTCCCTCCATTTTGGATTCAACAAGGAAAATCTTTTGAACAAGGTATATGTTGATTTTTATGACCACTTCTCAAATATTTGGATTTCTAACACCTTAAAATGGAGTTTCCCAAAATAGAGTCTAGGGATTCTGGGTTTCATTGGCCTCATCTGTAAAATGAGGGGATTAGTCTAGACCAGCACTGTCTAACAGTACTTTCTGCAGTGATGGAATGTTCAATGCCCGAATGTGCTGTCCGATACAGTAACCATTAGCTGCATGTTGCTACTGAGCACTTGAAATGTAGGTAGTGTGACTGTGAAACTGAGTTTTAAAATTTTAATTACTTTTAATTAATTTACATATAAATAGCTACATGGGGCTAGTGGCTACCATATCAAACGGTTCAAGTCTAGACTCCAGATTTTAGATGATTTCTTAGGCCTGTTCCACTCTAACATTCTTTAATCCTGTAATTTTGTGACAATCTCACTTGAGAAAAATACAAGTTTGGGAGCCAGAAATCTGGATTGCAATGGTTGTTCTCTCTCTTACTAGATATAAGACCTTGAGCAAGTCACTTAACTTCTTTGAGCTTCTGTTTGCTCGAATGGGTGTGAGAAGACCTACCTCGTTTCCCACAGAAAATTATTGTGAGCTGTCTGTAAGCTGCTGGGGACTATGGGGATTTTACATGTCAGTATTATTCTTGGGAACCTGAAGATTGAAAGAGCCAGAAGTTGCCTTTGCTAAGGGAGATGGGAAAAGATGACTGGGCAGTGCTAATGTACAAAGAATAGGGCCTTGCCTAGTAGCACGGTTTTTGAGAAAAGGGAAGGAAAGAATAAGAACCTAACATAAGATAAAGTTAATTTTTCTGAAATGAAAAAGGAATTTTCCAGAAACAATGGTAGTGCCTAACCAAGCCCTGTCCCTGGCAGAGGATCTGGTCAGAATAAGTAGAGAATCTGGTCTATCCGAGGAGTGGAGGAGAACGTGGCAGATTCTCAGAGGCTGTGCCGTTAAACGTTCCTGCCATGCGCCTCCCTGGAGTCTTGACTCTGGCGGCAGGGAACTTCGGTCATAACCTGTCCGGAGGCAGTTCACCTGCAGGAGACATGCTAGTCAGTCATCACTCCTCTCTTTGTAAATTAATATCCTGCTCTTTACACCAGTCTCTATGCACTCTGCTAATGTGGGTCCACACCCCTGAGACCAGTTGATTCTGGGGCACTAAAGAGATCAAGGTTCTGGGCCGTCCATGTCCTGGCAGTGCTGAACTCACCCAGGTAGCACTCCTGTGTTGGGACCTGCTGCCCTTCCCCAGGTGACACCCCACCTAGCAATTGCCGTATGCACTCTATCTTCAAAAATCCTACTGTCTCCAGCTAATATCCTTAGACGATGCCCTAGGATCCAAAAATACTGGACAGTGGACCACACTACTTCCACTTTTTGGGTGGGTCAACACTGCACACTTAAGGGATAAAGTGACCTCCCTAATTGATGCCACACACCAAGGAGCTGTCCCAATCAGGCAGAAAACAGAGAGGCAATGTAGACTGGTGATTAACCATGTGGCCATTAGCACCAGATTCCGTCCGTGTGACCTCATGAGGCCGTGGGCCTCAGTTTCCTCATTTATAAAATGGAGATGACCACACCCACCTTTACTTCCCAGGGTCAGATGTGGGAGTTACATGGGCTAATGTACACAGTAAATGCTCCATAAATGTCAGTTATAGACCTCCCCAGCTTGTGTTTGTTAAGTATGATTACTAACTAATTGCAATGCCCTCTTGCCCATGATCACAGGGACCAAAAATCAATTCATAAAGAAGTGAAAACAGCTCAGAGGCTGTCACTTGAACCCAGACTGATGGTTTTATTGATTTTAACTTGATCTCCCTTTGGCCTCCCTCTCCTTGCCAGACGCTTTATTTGTGAAAGTAGCGAAAGTACTGGCTGAAAATTCCAGATGCCCCAGTAATGTGACATTGGCCAAGTCACTTATGCTCCCTGCATCCTCAGTTTGCTCATCTGTAGAATGGGTGAAATGGTGTCTGCCTTCCACCCTCCCTGGGTTGTTGTAGAAAATCGCAGGAGAAGGCAGAGGCAGAAAGCTCTGCAGGAGCTCAGAATTGCCACCCCAGTGCACATGACTTGGGTGATCGGGACCCATATTTGAAATACAGAGACCAAGCTTTGTGGCCTCCTTTCAACAACTGAAACTTCCAAGGCCTTGCCTGCAAATCTGTTTCTATTGAGCACTTAAAAATGAGCCCGATGGTGTTTACTGAGAAGAATCTTGGTTTCCCTCGCACAGGTTGAGTCATATACACAATATTCCCTGGGATTTAGCCAAGGGGGAGAATGCCTCTCTGTATCCCCCTACCCACTTGGCCAGTTCCACTTCCTCTACGCTCACAAATGATTCGGTTCCAGATGAATCTGACTAGGAAGGATGGACCCAAAGTCTGGCTTGACCCCAAAGAATCATCTAGAATACACAAAAAGGTCTTTAGGGCCACACCCTGTATGGAGTTGAGTTCCTCTTGGGGACAGGCCTTACATGGCCCAAGACCTCCTCAGATTGAGGGGTTCCCAGGACTCCCCAGGCTTCCCTGGGCCACTAAGACCTGAGCAGCCCCCTTCCACCCCGAGCCCGAGTGAGCCTCTGTTCCGCCAACACTCGGCCTCGGCTCAGACCCGGAGTGCCCTTCAGGAGCCACGGGCAGAGGCAGGAGAGCCCGAGGGAGGGAGTAGCCCACACGTGGGCGTTTGGCTCTCGACCCACGACACCAAGGATGGGAATGATGTAGGGAATGATGAGGGCTGGGGAGTATAGAGGGAAGGTAGGCTGGCCGGGAGCCTGCAGAAGCCCCGTGCTCCAACACATGCAGGGCCCCTGAAGGCTTCCAGGGCCCCCGATGAAAGACAACCCCACATTGTTCCACGGAGCTGCACGCTGAGCGTGGAGGTGTTGCTAAAGCGGCTCCAAACCAGGGAGGTTTGCCAGGCTGTTTCAGCAGTAAATCTCCCTCAAGTGAGCGAGGAGAATAGCTGCAGGACCCTTTCAACCATCAATGAAAGATTTATGAGCTATGCCCGAGTCATCGGTTGACTCAGATCCTTCCCGAGGGCTGCACAGGCAGGGTGCGTGCAGAGGGCTAAGCAGTAGTCCCACCGCTGTGCATTCGGCAGAGCTTTGTCCCCAAGAAAACAACCAGCAGGCAGCCCAGGAAGTCAGGCGCTTCAGACCGAGCGGCTCAGTGACAGCAGAGCAAGGCGGCAGGTCACCCGCCACGATCATACTGCTGTCACCCACTAGCCCCTCAGCTTACAAAGGGCTGTCCCACTCACTCTCTTATTCGAGCTCCAGACAGCTCTGCAAGGAAGAGAGGGCAAGAAGCCAGTATCCCCATTTTACAGATGAGGAAACTGAATCCAAGAGATGAAAAGTCAGCCCTGAGCAGCCTGACTCCAAGCGCAGCTCTGTCCCTGCTCTGGCTGCCGCCCTCGCGGAGAGCTAGCAGAAAGACAGGAACAGGGAAGGAGGAGGAACAAGGGCCTTGCCCAGCACTTGCTCAGAAAAGCAAGAAGGGAGGCGGCTTGGAAGCAGCTAAGAGGACCCTGCCCTTCTCTGGGGTTCCCAGGCTGACCCGCTGTTCACCATTGCAGGTCAACAGAGCCTGGATGAAGGGGAAGCTGGGGCTGGACTCGTGGACCAAGGCTCTGTACCCGAGAACCACAGCAGCCAGGGGACTCACTTGCCGCCACTCAGGAAGCAGCCCTGGCGGGAAGAGGCAGTGCTGGCCGAGGTACCGTTTCTAACGGGCTCCCCGGCCGTCGTTCTTCTTGACTTCATGCGGGAAGCTTCCTCCCTTCACCATCTCTCGGGGTTCTCCGGAGAAGAGAAGAGTGCTTTGACCTTCTTGACCACTGTCTCCCGAAGTGTCACCCGTGGGAGCCTAGCATTGCCAGATGCTCCACCATAAAAGGGTTTCATAGCCAAATACGTTTGGGAAATGCCGTGTAGCACGCTCTCCTGCAGAGGGTCACAGTGCACTGTTTTGAGAAGTTCTGTCACTAAAGTAGCCACTTTAACTTTGACTCATGGTTTTCCAAACTTATTTAACCACACAGCCTCCCGACACTCTTCACTGCGTCGTGGCAGCTGTAGTCCTCTCTAGAAAGAAAGAGCTCTCGGCCTCAGAGTTGGAGAAGCCTCGGTTTGAGGTCTCCATCTTACTGGTTGTGGCGAGCCCATCCGGGAGACCTAACTAAGTGTGAGCCTGGACGCTCTCTTCTGTAAAATGGAGCTGTTATCATATGTATCTTACAAGGCTCCGATGAGGATTAAATGAGCTAAAATGTAAAAATGCTTTCTAAACTCTAAGGCCTCTGTGTGTGTGTGTGTGTGTGTGTACAAGATGAGAGTGGTTCAGAGCAGCAGAGACAACACAGGCTCCTGTCTTGAATAAACTCGTTTGACTTAGAGGAAGGTTCTGTGCCCATGAGAACTGAGAAGGCAGAGAAGAGAAGTGCCACACCACGGAGGGGAGAGGGGAGAGACGGCCCGTGACGGAGAAGGACAGTGACGCTAGCGCTTCATTTTCATTTTTAATTTTTCTTGCAAGAAGGCAGTATATGTCAGGCATGGTTAAATGTCATCCTTTCTCTCATCAACAATAACATGCTTTATTGTAATGAACAGCATTAGAGATCTTGCTATTATAGGCATGTTTTTCTTCCCAGGCTGCAAAGGAAATTTAATCCTTAGAACCACAAATCTAGCCACAGGTCTGACTTAAAGGAATCTGCTCGTCCCCTCACAAAAGCCTGCTCACAGGAGTGTGTCTCTGTCGTTCTCTAGGACACAGCCGGAGAGAATCAGCACCGTGCACAGGCTTTGAAGGAAAGCCACGATGAAAACTGGCAGCCGACCTCCAGGAGGGCCTGTGGGCACGCCCACATTGCCCATTCTTGGCTCCTGAGTGACAAACCCCACATTACGTTCTGCAGAGGCACCTTCCCCAACAGGAAGGCAGACCTCAGCGGTAAGAAGCCAGACATCTTGCTTGTTGATCTGGGTAAGCCTAGTCAAGCAGAGCTCACTGGAGAACACGGAGGCACTCAGAGTGTCACCTCCTCGTGCCACTTAGACTAGCAGCCAAAGTCCAGTCGGAGGTGGGAATGAGACTCCCCATTGCCTAGCACTCCACCGGCACATCCTGCAATCAGACCACCTGGGTCAGCTTACCCCCACTTGCCAGCTCTGATCTTGAGCAAGTTCTTTCATCTCACCGAGGCTCAGTTTCCTTGTCTGTGGAGTGGGGGTAGTAATAATACTTCCATAAGGCTACTGCAGAGATGGAGTTAATGCATGTAAAATCCTTTTCATAATTCTTGTCCCACATTTAGCACTTAACACATATTAACTGCTATTATTAGGGGTTCATTCTCTCCATTGTCTGACTCAGCCAGCAAGAACCCAACCCGGATAATGAGAATAGGGCTCCCCGAACCTGCTCAGCCAAAGCCGTGGTGGCCTTGGTGCCCGGCCCTCCTTCTGCCTCCCACTGACCCCAAAGCAGAAAGAGTGGAAAGTCCACTGTCCGTCCAGATGCCTGCAGCTGGTCAGCTCTCATCCTCTCCTGTTCCCACAGACATACAGGGCGACAGGAAACTCCACAAGGGCAGAAGCAGCCGCTTGTTCCCGGAGCCTCCAGCTGAAAGGTGCCTTTTCCCGCCTGTAGCATCCAGCACCGCCTCAGAAAAAAGCACGCCTGGGGAAGTGAAGACGAAAAAGGTGTGTGTGTGTGTGTGTGTGTAAGAGATCACTCTCGATCTGGAAATGAAGTGACTCCAAGGGGCTGCCTCCAGCAGAGGACTGGCCCTGCTTGCTTCTGAGCTCACCGTGTGGAGCTGGGACAAAGCTGTAGTAATTTACTAAACGTTGAAAATAGTGAAGGACGGGTGAAGGAATTCAGCTGCCCCGATTCTACCCCAAGGCATACGCTATTTCCTCACTTTCTGGTGGCAACGGAACCCTTTGTTCTGTTAAGGGGCTGGGGCTTACCTGCAAACCTGTGAGGACAGAATTTGAGCTTGTAAGAAACTGACCCACTTCAAACTCAAAATGCTGGAGATTTTGAATCCAGCAATGGTTTTGCTTAATTGAGGCCCTGTCGCCTTTGAAAATAAACGGCAAATTTTGCAAGTTTATCAACTCCTTCAGACGTCAAGTACACCTGCTTCCTTAGAGAAGTCCTTTGCTGTCTCTGGCCGGGTCCTGCCTTGCATTCTAAGTGGGTGGCTTGGAGGTACCTGTGTTGAGCAGGGCACACAGGGCCCCGGAACGCTCTGCCCTGTAGCGGCTGTGAGCCTGAGCAGGTCACTCGCCCCTCTGAGCTGCAGTGACCTCATCTGTGTGCTCGGATAATGAGGCCAACTCTTAGGGCTGCTGGAAGGATGCGAGGGGGTGATGCCTGTCTGTGAGAGCGTCTTGTGTCCGATTGGGAGCTGCAGCGGTGTTGGTTAACTGTGGGGACGCGCGTCATGGGAAATGGCCCTGGAGGAGCCCTGGGTGGTCCTGGAGCCAGTGGGGGAGGTTGTTTTCAGTCTATTCAGGATTTTCTCAGATTTCCTGTGTCTAAGCTGACCTAAACCTTTCCATCCACACCAGAAGGGCCTCTGTCTTCCCAGGTGCATCTGGACCAGGAGTAAACGGCAGGCCTAAGGGAAGCCCTCAATTTCACACCCCGGGTCAGCCCAGAACCGAGCCAGGCTCAGAGGACAGGAGTCCCTGCCTTCAACCCATGCCTGTGGTTTAGCAGAGGAAAGCAAAATTTTCCACTAGATTAAAACTCGGTAAATTTTTAATTAGAATAAAGAAATTAAGGCTTGGTTTGTCGGCCATACCTCACACAAATCATCTGAGTTTTTCCACATCGATTTCTCAATGCAAACCTTGTCAAACAAAATGCACCAGGTCAGTGTTCAGAAAAGGGCAGTTGGTGGGCAGCTGGCACCTGGACAGTGAAGGCCTCCAGGAACACAGAGAGCCTATGTGCACACGTCTGCTTAATCATTTTCTTAATGTCGTGAAATTATAAATATTTCCCTGCGTGTGTTTGGTTAAATTTCCTTCCTCATTCAACTCTAAGCACGGAGGATGGTTACATATGTCTCTGATCTTTTTTCTTCTCGAGCACTAAAACAGTGAGAACCGTTTTTATTTTTCCTCCTGTGAAATTGGACTCCCTGACGCCCAGCACAAAGATGTGTTTCCTAGAGCGGAGTTCATGTGTTAAAAGCTGCAGACGACAAGGAGAAATTTCCAGAAACTTCTGCGTAATTGGAAACAGGAGGCTCGAAGTAGTACCCCTTGTGTGTGTCTCTCTGTGCACAGATACGCATGTATACATATAGACACGTGTTTTGAGGCTTTTTGGATGCAAAAAAACTGGGTTAGAGTCGTGGCAGATCCTGACACACGGAGATGCTTTTTTAGCCGTGTTCGTATTGCGGAAGCGTAGGGACGCCTAGGTATCCTGCTGGTGGGGAGATTGGGTACTAAACCCTAATGAGAGAAGACTCTGCTCTCAAAGAAATACCACAGAAATATTCCTAGTTCCAAACACGACGGTGACTGCGTGTAACTAGCTCGCTCAATCCTCATGGCAGCCCTGCGCCCCGCTGGGGTGATTGCTCTCACTTTGCAGAGGAGGGTGTGGAGGCTGAGGGGTAAACGGGGTAAGCAGACAAACGCATAGTCTTATTTTCCACCCTTTCTTCCCTAAAAGGTTGCACAGTCAACGTTCTGAGCTTTGCTTTTTCCCCTTGACGACAGATGCCAAGATTTCTCTCTCTCTGTACTTAGAAATCTCTGCTGCATCGTTTCAAGCCGGCTGTTTCCCCAGCTGCAAGGTGAAGAAAGACCGTAGTTCCTCCCAAAGGCTCTTGAATTTATCTGTTTGTGCTCCTCTGAGGAGTCAGAGGCTGGATTAACAGGGTACAGCCGAGCTCCCGAGAGGCTGGGGGCAGCTCCCTAGACAGACTCCCGGCTACCTGGGTGGTCAGCGTTGCTTCTCAGCCATGGGGACTGAAGCCACCTCACCCAGCAGCTCCTGGTGCTGCAGACACAATAAGATTCCCTGTCATTTGTCCCCTGCAGGCAGCAGGGCTTAGAGACCTGCCCTAATGGGTTTTGTTTTATTTTTAAATTTTCTCAGGCACCAAAAGCTTTGAAATTACCTCCTATCTCAGAAGAACCTCCCAGGGTCCTGGACCCCCTGGGGAGTGGACTTAAAGCCCAGGAGCCCCCAGCAGAGCTCTTCATCTTCCCCGTGGAGATTCACTTCCACACCCAGCAACCTCCAAAAGAAAAACCCCGCAGAGGAGGTAGGTCCCCTCGGGACGGGTCTCCTGAGGGAGCTCGGGCAGGCCAGGAAGCTCCGGGTGTGGGACCGGCTAATGCAGCCCTCTCCCAAACCATGGCTGACCCTCCCCAGGGTTATCCTCTTCAGAGAACTTTTTTTTAAAAGAAGGAAAAAGAATAAGCCCAGAAGTAGGTCTCTCTGTTCATATTCAACTCAATTTTTAAAATATTTATTGAGCCCTTCATTAAGCAGTGCATTCTGCTAAACTGTGGAAGAGAATGGAAGTCAGGCATACACACAAATAAGTCGGATGCACCACAGATGTTACAAAGGTGCAAGAATTTTAAGGCAGTTTATGAAAAATAAATACAGTATATAAAACAGCACAATTGAAATTGAAAAAAAAAAAACTGGTTAAAAGGAGCAGAGAAGTGATGTTATCAGACAGCTGGGATGAATTCATTGCTTTAGGTAAGCCCTGGATTTAGATGAGTTTCCTGGCAGCCAAGGTAAAAAGGGTCTTTGGATCTTCATTTTATAAAAGAAAGATAAAAGTTTGCCTGAAGAGCCATTTTCCTGATTTTGAATTAGGTTATTATGTAACATTAGATGATTTCTACAGTCTTTGTCAGGGCAGAGATTTTGTGCTTCTAAGCAAAGTGCTAAGAGAGTAGGGGTAAGGGAGACATCAGTTCCAACAGGGGACTTAGGAAGACTTTTAGAAGGAGGCTTCTGAGCGACGGCTGACCCTACACCCCCAGGAGGAATTCTTTCTGACCTTCCCAAGACGTCCCACAGCACCCTGGCCTAAGACACATTCTCGCTCCTAGGACTTCTCTGGGCAGCGTGAGGCCAAAGGTGACCCTCTAAACAGCTGACTCCAATTTTGAGGGAGTCCTAGTTCTGAGCTTTGTAGAAACTTCAGCAGCAACTGCCACTGATTTCTTGGAGAATTTTTGTTCTGCGGCTATTTGAATTCTCAAGATGAAGAAGAATGCTTACCTACTGAGCTTGAAAGACCAGTCAGTGGAAGGGTGCGTAATGGAATTTCTAAGGTGATGAAAATGTTCTAAACCTTGGTTGGTTGCATGGATTTATACATTTGTTGAAATTCAGTGAATTGTACACTTAAGCCCTGTACATTTTGCTGTATATAATTTTACCTTTCAAAAAAAGTTACTTGGCTCCTTAAAAAAGAAAAACCAATATTTTTAAATGTAGGCTTTATTATTATTCAGGTACAGTGAGGCTGACAGATCAGGAGACATTGCCATTGAAAAGACAGTTTGTTACTCAGAGTTCTCAAGAGGAGAGGGCACGCCAGGCCACGCAGGACCACACGGGGAAGCACCGGGGTCAGTCAGGAGGCAGAAGGGCTGGCAGGTGGGGAATGGGCAAGAGTACTGCCTTTTGGGGGAAGGAGTGGGCGAGGCAGTGCAAGCAGGCTAAGCAGGTTTGCGGTTGGCTAGTTTGAGTGGTTTGGGCAGGCTCCAGGGGCAGGGGACAGCCCTCGCTGTCTGTACCTGGCCCTGGGGGGTTAAGGCAGGGGGTAGTGGCCTAGAGTGTAAGAGTTGGGTAACGGAGGTTGTGGGGGTCAGGAGCTCTAGATTGGTTGGTTTGCATGTGAAATGTGAACTCGCACATGGTCCTTTACCATCTCTAGGAATCAGCTAGCGCTGGGGGGGGGGACAGTCTCCCCAGGATCAGTAAGGTCCCAGATGTCAAAACACTGGAAGAAAAAGACATACTTACTACACACAAAGACAAGACTATTAGCAGGATTCAATTAAATCCTGAGTATCTTCCATGATGACCCTAGAAGGAAGGTCGCCAGGCCATTGGGAACCAGATTCTTAAAGCTGTTAGGCACTTGGAGTGTGCCAACACAGTGCCAAATGCAAAATAGGAATAAGGTACAGAGAAAGTGAATGCACTGCGTTCTTCCTTCTTTGGTACGTCAGTCAGTGAGGACTCTCTCAGTAACGAGTGTCAGAAGCTTAACTCAAACTGTCTTAAGAAAAAAAAGAAATGTATTATGAGCTCGTGTCATTGGTCGTGCAAAGACCAGCTAACTCCAGGCTCAGTTGGATCCAGGTCTGAGAAAATGGCATCTGGGCACTATTTGTCTAAGTTTCTCAGCTCTGTTAGCCTTTCCTCTCAAGCAGGCTGTCCCCACACGGTGGTCAAGATAGGCTCCTGCAGTTCCACACTGACCTCTCACCTGTTAACCCCAGTAGCAAGGATATGCCTCTTAAAAGTTCTTGCAAAAGTACCAGATTTGCCTCTGACTGGGTTATGTGCCTGGACCCGATCCTTGTGGCTAAAGCAATGAGGCGTCTCTTTAGCCAGGCTGCAGTCACGTGCCCATCCCTGGAGTCAAGGAATGGTCTCAGCTGCACCCAAACCACATGGTGTGAGCAGGGGAGAGATGGATCCCCAAAAAGAAGAGATGGCTGGCAAAAACCACAGATGTCTACTACAACTTGGCTTTCTCATTGTCTCCTAGGAGCTCCACACCCTGAGTTAGGAGCAGAGACAGAAGAGACCAGGCCTTTCTGGAGGGCTCCCCTGAAGCGCACGTCCCTAGCAAGACCAAGGATGTTAAGAGTGCATCTCCCAGTGGACTCCGGCAGGGACACACTCTCGCCTCAAGGTAACCCCTCCCGCCCTCCAGCATTCCACAAGACTCTCACCCAGCAGGGAAGCAAGGCAAGACACGTAAGGACCCCCAGCCCTGAGAAAGGAGCTGGAAGGGAGGTCAGCTCCCCCCAGCCACCCGAAGGTGTCTTTTGTTCAGGCAGCAGCTGCCTTAACTGAAGTGCTGTCATCGAACCAGTTTAGTGTCTAGCTCATAAGTTACTTACTCATTAAATCGTCCCCCTACTAATATTTTTCTGGTTGCAGATATAAAATGGCACCAAACTTACTGAAAGTTCGCTGCATGCTCTATGGTTTATCCTATGTTTTTAATCAATGAAATTTCATTTCTAACCTGTTTAGGGATGTTTATTTATTCATTAAAAAGTCCACAATATCAATAAAAGTCTTCACTCTAATTTTTCAAAACATCATATGGACGTTTGAAATTACACACATGGGTGCATCTAAGTGTGTATTTTCATGTGTTGGCTAAGCTGAAAGTAATGGGCCATATTTAGAAAGCGCCTCATTTTCAGAAAACTGAAACTCCTTTCCAAAGGGCAAGATGACAGTATCACAAACATTAAGTGATCTCTGACCAGTGGTGTCAGAAGAAGGAGAAGGAGGAACATTGATATTTATGGAGTTCTCTCTGTGCCAGGCACTGGGTTAGTTTTTAGCACATCTTATCTCGTTTCCTCCTCACAAGGATCTGACCCTCACTTCCCAGATCCGAAAACGGAAGCCCTGAGAGAACGCTTGTCTGAGGTGGCACGGCTGCAAGTGGCCCGGCTGGGACGGGAGCTAGGTCTCCCGCACCAGCAGCCTCCCCATCGGGCTGCACTGCCTTTCAGAAGAAACAGAACCATGAGCCCAGGTTGGGACGCTCTCGAGATGTCTCAGTTCTGAGAACGCCTCTGATTACAGGGACACGGGCTCATTTACACCGTCTCTCAAGTGAGAGTTAATCATCCTAAAGACTGAAAAAAAGCCTTTCTTTTCAAAAAAAATCCAAATACTGTATGGGCCAGGGCCACATACAATGTGGTATGTGCAATGGACCAGAGAGCAGCTTTCCACCTGCAGCCTCAGCGTCAGGTGCACAGCCCGAGCCACTGGGGTCGGAGGCCACACCAGTGAATTTCGTCTTTGCTGTCATTCACCTCGCACTGCCCTCCACTTGTTTTGAGCTGCCATGTCCACCAGGGACTGACTCTCTAGAGCTTGTCCCTCCTCTGCCACCCTGCCAGGGGGCAGCCGGACTAGAAGTCCCTGGTACCTTGGTGTGAGTCGGTTCAGTATGTGACCCAACCTCTTAGAAGTCACATAAAGAGATCCAGAGAGTCCCGTTTTTCAAGGCAGTCTTCCTCACACAGGGGCCCCTGGGCAAGGGTGATCTGAGCTAGGAAGTGTGACCATCCCATTGCCGCGGAGGTGGCCCATACCCATTTACTTGCTCAGCCCTGGATTATTTCACCTCTACCATTATAAAAACGAAGCCAGATTTTGTATGTGCACATACACACATACATATTTTATTCTATTGCTGAACCATCGGGAGATAGATTGCAGACTTTGTGCCTTTCATCCCTTATCAGCACATATCTCCTTAGAGCAAGGGTGTTCTCCCTCATGACCACAACGCAACTATCACAATCAAGAAAGTCAACGTTGGTGTAACACTAATTTCTAATATATAGTCCATATTCAAATTTCTCATTATAACAATAACGTTCCCTAGAGGTTTTCTTTTTCTGATCAATCCAGGATTCAACTCGGGATCATGCGTCTTATTTAGCTGTCATGCCTCTTCAGAATCTTTTCGTCTCGAGCGCTTGACCAGTCTTGCTTTCCATGACATGGACGTTTTGAAGACCAGTTGCTTTGCAGAATTACCCTCAAGTTAGATTTGCCTGTTTCCTCGTGATCAGATTCAGATCAGACATCTTTAGCAAGAAGAGCCAAATACGTGATGTTGCATCTTTCTCGGTGCATCACATCAGGGGACACAAATATCCCTGTATATTTATTCCATCTGTTATCATCTGTTCCATTATCAGTGGTGTTCAGTTTCACTATTTGGTTAAAGGTGGTGTCTCTAGATTTCTCCATGGCAGACACCTTTCCTTTCGTAGCAAATAACTAGCCTGTAATACTTTGAGACTGTGTGTGAAGCCGGCTTTTAAACACGAACATCAACCGTGTGTTGAGCATGAAATAAAGACACTCTCTGAGATTAAGACAAGGTCTCAATCCCTCAGATTACTGGGTTTCACCCTCCATAGATCAGTCCCAGCTGATTTGAGAAAAGAGAAGGAGAGCACGGAGGGGAGGGCAGGACGCACTGTGTGGAGCCTTGTCATCTGCCCCATACCCTCTCTGCCCCCAGGAGGTGCTGCTTTGCACGCTAAAACCTAGAGGAGTTGCGTGTGCATTGGTTCTGCTTAGAAGACTTGCTTTGTGGTTGGAATTCTGTAGCCAATAATCTCGTGAGCTCCGCAGCCAGGGGGCACCTAGTGAGAGCCTTTGCACTGTGGGCTGGAAGGACCTTGCAGCCCCTCTCGTCTCTCTTCTGTCTCAGGAGCCCATCAACATGAGGAGAGTAACAACAACTGCTGCTTAGTGCCTCCCAGTTCTGGGGGTTCCTCAACCAGGGGCCACTGTTCTGGCCAAGAGTGATTTCACCCTGGCCACGGGAGACAGCTGGTCTGGAAAAGGGACGAGGTTGAGAATGGGTGGCATCCTTCAGGAGGAGCCATCACCCCACTTAGAAGAGAGCTTCCTTCTCCTTCTGATCCAGAAGTCCTCTCATTCGTGTTTGTCTCCTTTTGCTTTCGAAGATGATGATGCCCCACCCCAGAATGTGACCCCACCATTGCCCCTGATTAAAGGAAGAAAAAGTCCAGAGAGCCAGAGGGGCCCAGACAGTCCCAGGACATCAGGGCACAGCAGCCCCACAGGCCCCCCAGTCATGAGACGGCCCCGGGGGACACTCCCAGCGGAAGGACAAGGTAATCACTCGTTGGCTTGTCTGGGGCTCTGGGCTCATTTTAATCATCTTCCAGGGCCACGCAGCAGCCGTGATGAAGCTGTCTGAGAGCCACTCCACTGAAGGGGAAATGAGCAGTGTTCACGACGACGTCAGTGGGATTCATGTTTACCATGCATATTCCTAAAGAGTCAGTGCATGTTTTAAGGGTGTGCTGCACCTGCACGCATTGCCAAACTGTTCCGTGCTGTCCTCCCTCCCAGCAGCAGTGTGAGGACACAGCTGCCTGCAGTCCCCAGGGAGCCACACTATGGGATGGACCGGGCCACCCAACACCGAGGCCCGACCCTCCCCGGGGTGAGGGATCCTGCTGACCCTGCCAACAGGAAGAGTCCCGGGCAGAGGCCACCCTCAGCCCGGGGCAGAGCCCGAGGCCTGCTCACAGACAGACAAGGACTGGATTGTCACTGGAGGGTGAGGTAGCACCCACACCCTCCATGACTTAGACTGACTGAGGTCCTTATACAAGATCAATAATGCAAAGATGGTGCAGTGACAGCTTCCGTGGGGGCTTTGAGCTAAAGGCAGCTCATAAAGCAGAAATTGCTTAGAGTCCACACTACCTCTGAAAATCCCTTAGGGAGGTGCCATGCTGGAAACCAACAAAATGTTTTCTAGAAAGTGCAGCCCAGCCAGCTGTTCCTCCCGCCAGGAGTGTTGGGCTGCTTTCTCCAGTGGAGCACCAGATGAAGGAGATGCTGTGTGTTGGGCGCCGGGCAATGTGAGGAAAGCATCTCTCTTAATGGCAGAATCCTAGTCACAGCTTCCAGAAACTCACACACCGAGAGGCGGGGGGCAGGGGGGAGGACACTAAGAGCTGCCAGGAAGACAACAGATCCCTCATCTTTCCTGTTCATCTCATGCTCACTCGGGCACAGAACGCCTCACCATTCGTCTCTCTCTGCCTCTGTCTACCCCCCGCCCCCAAGCATGGACAGGTGAAGCCCTGTAAGCATAAATTAAATACATAGATCAATGACTCCATATGTGTTTGCAGCTTCTCTATTCAAGGCTAAAACGGTCAGCATCACGTCCCCTCCTTCCCCCTCCCTCCCTCTCTCTCTCTCTCTCTCTCTCCCTCTTCTTTCAGGCGCCTTCCTCCTGTGGCCCCTCCTTCTGGACCCGCACGGCAGCGATGCCCTCAACTTAGATACAAAGGAACCAAACTTTAGGTGCAGTCACGCCAGCACTGACAGTGTTCCCAAGAGGTTGGGTAGCCCAGGAGAAATCACACCGAACACACACACACACACACACACACTTCTCCTCCGACATCATTATAAAGGGAGAATCTGAGGAGAAGCAATGCCAGGGCCCTGACTGTGGTAAGAGTGCAGCCCGAAGCCTCAGGAGCATACGTTGAGTGTGTAAATGAAGGTACATGTGAGGATACGTGTGTGCCTGTGTGTGCTTGTGTGCAGGCATGCACACCTGTGTGATTGTGTGATTACGCAGGCATGCTGTGCACAAGTGTGCAAGTGTTGCTGTGTGTGTGTCCTTGCGCCTGTGTGGTATATGTGTGTTCATGCACACACACTTGCATATGGGTGGTTGTGCATGTATGTGTGTGTGTGCTTGCCTTGTGAGTGTACATATATACGTGTATGTATACCTCTGTGTAAATATGTGTGTGTGTTCTCGAGTGTGTGTGTTGCCTCTGTGTGCATGCGTGTGTTTGTGTACTTATAAGCGTGTGCCGTGACTCGTGGCCAGCTCTGCTCCTGACCCCTTTGCCTTGGAGATGGGGAAGGTAAGGTTACAGAAACACCTTCAATCTTTCTAAGCGTCTGAGGGAAATACAACTTCCTTCTCCTTGGCCTGAGCCCCCTGGAGTCACTGGCAGTCACAGCATTTGAGCCATAGGGGATGGCTGTCCATGCGGAGAACGGCACAAAGGCATGTGACAGAGAGGGGAAGCAGAGGCTGGACTCACCAAGCCCTTGCCCAGGTGGGCGACACACACCTGGAGGAAAGGGCCCCCTGTCCTTCACCTGGGTGCCCCTCACCAGCCCAGCCTTGCCCTGTAGGGCTGCTTGAGCCCCGAGGGGCCACCTCCTCCAGGTTCTCACAAAGGCGTGACAGGGGCTGGTGGCAGCCCACCCTGTTCATCCTGCATTGGCCTCCAGACTCCTGCCGGATCCCAGGAGTGGGGCTGACCCTGGGCTCTGGCGGGCCCTGAGCTCACTGCGTCTGTCTGCTGGGGACTCGGGGAGCACGGTGCGGGCGCAGCCTCCTCCCTTGCACTCACGCTGACACTGCCCATGTTTGTGCTTGTTTTCAAAAAGATTCCAGAGACCCCACACTGGGACACTTTTTGCTGGGTCCAGATGGAGAAAACGTCTGCCTGTCCATCCCAGGGCCTACCCAAACCGAGGAGCTTCTGTGTGGGGAAGGTAAGACGATCCATCCCGGGTCGGCCTCGTTTTCATAGCGGAAGGTTTTACCTGCAGCTTCCAAAACTTCCCAGCAGCAGAGACATCATTAAAAACAGACGCGAGTCAGCCAGTTTCTCCCCCCTCGCTGACACAGAGGTGCTTCTGTAGCTCAGACACAATAACCCAATGTTTGCATAACAAGTTGACTCTTGCTGGAGTATCTGGAGGGAGACGTTCCCGTGGAATGGCTTGGAGGAGGTATAATGTGCCTTGTTGATGCCTTGATGAGAATGATAAAGCCCTTTTGGTTTTTGCCCAAATTAAACACTGCCTTTTCTCTTCTCTCCAACCGCCCTCCAGAGGCGGAGGTGGCTAATTGGTAAGCCAAGCAGGTATCCTCGTGGTATGCGTTGGTTTATTACTGCGAATCCTCTGGCTCCTGACAGCTATCGAGGCAGTTTCCAAAAACCCTTCTGGCATGTTAACTTTTTGGAAAAGAGATGCTGGCTCTGGGTAATAGCCGTTTTGCAGAGGAAAAAAAATGAAGTCCGAGGGTGCTGAGTGTCAACCTCCTGGGATCCATTATGACGTGTATGCATGAGTCGGACGGCCAGCAGGGGGTCTGATGAGAGAGAGCAAAATCTGTGCTCCTGTAGTGGGCTGTGTCTCAACCGGCTCAATAAAGAGAGCGTGGATTCAGAGCCAGGAGATCTGAGCAGCCCTGGCTTGTCCTCTGTGTTGTCAGATGACTTGGGGTCAGTCCCTCCCTGTGTCCAGGGTCCTCATCCTGTCTGAAATGAGGGATTGACTCTTGCCCTGCCGCCAGCTGGGAAGCTCCTTGACTGTTGCTGCATTTCACAGGTTGCGTCTGTTGCTGTTGAAGCAGCGGCCTAGTGCATGGGTTTCCAGAAACTAGCATGCATTTAGTTCCAAATTCAACCTTAAAGCACTTCCACCACCACTTGGGTTATCCTGTGCTGTGAGTATGGAAATAACTTGGTTCTGCATTGGCGGAGGCAGGAGTTAGAGAGGTGGAGGCCAGTGTCAGAGTGACACTGTGGGTACAGCAGCTGGACAGCAAATATGGTTCTGTTCACCTGCTGCACAGCTGTCCTCTCTGTTCCAGGAGAGACTCTGGCAAAGCAAAGCCGGAAGCAGAAAAGGAAATGTTTAGGCCTTCAGTGTGTTGTCGCACTGTTCATATGAGGTTTCAGTCGTTTTGGCATCCCTGGCACCTGGCACGGTTCCTGACACATGCATAACAGGATCACGATACATGTTCATTGAAAAATCTCTCAATAATTTCCACGCTAAAGCAAGAGAGAGAGAAATGTAGCTTACGTTGAATAAATGGAGACTTGTCCGCCATCTTGTCTCAGTCCCGTGAACAGTATATTTAATCCTGCTTGCCTCTCAAACCTAAAGTCATTCGCTGTAAGCTTGTTGAACTAATGAATGAATCAGTCAGTCAGGCGGGCAAGCCTCTCTCAGCCTTTCCTCCATATACAGCTGGCGGGCCTTCATTCTGGACAGCGATTAGAATGTGCCCTGGAAGGTAGGACAAAGCCTTAAACCCACATGTCCCTACGCGGGCCCATAGAACAGATCTGGGTTTCAGAGAGTCTCCATTAATGGGAAAGTTTTTTCGTTGTTTTGTTTCGTTTTGTTTTGAGAAGCAGTGTGCTGAAAAAAATTTTCAACTCTTGCAAAGGGTTTGCTCCAATCACACCAAAATCTTTGCAGTTCAGTTTGTTGAAATCCAGGTTGGTCACCAGCCCACCCTGCCCTTCCGGTCTCATCTCCCACTCTATTCAGGCCCACCCTTTTCTCATCTCTTTGGAAGCCCAAACATTCAGTCTTCCTTCTCTTATCTTCCAGCCTTTGCCCAGTTGTCCCCAAATGTTTAGAATAGCTTTATGTTCCAGACAAAGGCTCATCTTTTCTGGAAAATTCTCCTTAGTAAATCCACCTCATCTCATACAACTGCCTCAGCCCATTCCTCCCTCTCAATCCGACTGTTATGATTATTGTATTTATCTGCATCTGTTTTTTGTTTAGCTCCCAAATATATTACACGAGGTCTAGAGCACCTCTCATCTTTATCATATGTCCAAGAAACGCTTGTTGATTGACTGAATACCCCAGATGCCACAAAGGAAAGTTCTTTTGGAATCATAGTTGGGATTTTTAAATTAAAAAAAATCTTGAGTAAGAAGGGAATATGATCTGTCTGATCTTTCGGAGACATTCAGACTCTGTCAACATCTATTTGGAATAAATTCTTAGGCAATTAGATCATGATATCTTGCTTTCAGACAGCATAGAAAGATGAATACGAACCTTCAGAAAAAGAAAAAAAGTTGTGAAGACTAGAGCTGGAATTTGACCCTCCTGGTCATGGCGGGATGTTGCAGCACTTAGAAAATTCAAAGGCTTAAGAAAGGAAAAGTTAACTTGGATGGATACAAGTCAAAACAGGGGATATGTGCTCTGAATTGCTTATCCATGATCCAAATCCTGCATCTAGTCTCCTGGTTGTGGTGGCAGCAATGGAAGATTTCTTTCAGAAATTCTTTTATTCAGAAGGCTTACTGCTAGAAGTTCAGGGATGTCTGTCCCGATGATTCAGGCTGGGACTCCAGTCCCATGTCACTTTAAATTCTTGAGCTCTTTCAGAGTTTCCAGTTAACACTGGTTCTTGTCCCAAATGGATTTTTACCCCAAAAATGTTCCTTATTTTTTGGTCATTTAATAACTTCCTTCTCTCTTGCAATTCTTTCTTGGCGTGGTGATTTTAAAATATGTCCACAAATTCTTTGACACTTGTTCCTTCAAAGGGGAGAGCCTAACTCTACTCCCCTTGAGAGTGGATGGGACACAGCGGCTCACTTCTAACAGAAATAGAATATGACCGAAGTGATGGCGTATGACTTCTGAGACTGGCTTTCTCCTTGCTCTCTCTCTTGGATTACCCCTCTGGGGAAAGCCAGCTGCTATGTCCGTCACGAGGCCGCTCAAGCAGCCTTATGGAGAGGTCCCCAGGGCAAGGAACCGAAGCCTCCTGCCAACAGCTAGAACGAGCTTTCCAGGCTTGTGAGTGAGCTGCCTCGAGAGGAGATGCTCCAGCCCCAGTGAAACCTCCGAATGACTACATCCTGGCTGACACTGTGACTGCAGCCTCCCCAGAGGCTCTGCCCCAGAAGCACACACACAAGCCACTCCCAGATTCCCACAGAAACTGTGTCAGATATAATACAAATTTACCGTTTTAAGTCACTAGATGTGGGGGTAATTTGTCTTCAGTAATACATAATATCCTTGGTGTCATTTCCTGGTGGTCTGCAATTTGGTAAACAGAAAGATGAAGGGGCCAAGAATATCCAGCTGGTCTCAAAACACTGATGATTTGGGGGCAAACATATGCTAAATAGTTGGCTTTCTCTTTGTTTTCTCCATTTGCCATTTGTGGTCATGTTGGTTGTGGGGCTCACGGGTAAAAGAATCCATCCGTGTTGGTAGGGTCATTGACAAAGTATGATTTTTCTTGAGTAGCCTTTCTCTTAGCAGCTGTTGCTTTAGAGAAGACGCCTGGAGATCTGAAGGAGGAGAAGTCCTTAGATGAGGCAGAGTCAGGAAGAAGAATGAACTCTGGACTAAATGTCCAAAGTCTTGGGCTTTATTCTCAGCTCTACCACCCGCGATATCTGTGATTGGGAGCAAATAGTTGCACTGCTGTGGACCTCAGCTCCCTAATATGGGAAAAGAGGAGCTGGGCTCAGATCCAGTCCTCCCAGCGTGTGTCCCATAGAACTCCAGTTCCTCAGAAAGTTGACAGGCATTATGTAAAAAGCAAAAGGTTCCGAGGTTAAATAAGTTTGGAAACCAGCGGCTAAAGTTAGCAAGTTTCCTTATGGCAGGACTTCACAGAGCCTCTAAGAGGCCATTGTGAATTTCAGCTCCTCCCGTTGAGAATATGCCTTGTATCCCAAACTTATTTGAGCACTGAATTCTTTATTGTTTTTAGCAAAGCATTGTGCAGTTCTTAATAGTTTCTGGAACACACTTTGGAAAACACTAAACTGATGATTTCTAAGGTTCCTTCCAGAGGAGACTCTCTTGCTGGGGTAGCTCTGTTGTCTAAATCCTGAAGCGTGCTCTCAGCCATTCAATAATTCATGACTGTTCTTATTTTCATTTTCAAAACATCGCTTCTGAATGGTAGGGTCCACAATCCATCCATCTCTGAGTGAGAAGTAGAGGAAGGGAGCAGGAAGCCTGCGTGGCAATAAGGCCCTTGGGCCCAATCAGTGTTTGTTAATAACCCATAAGAAATAATGTTGACAGTTCCAGTGATCTCAGGTCAAATGTTGAAATAAAGGAAAACGTGGCTGGACATGGTCACGTGGCACCCAGCATTTCCTTCCAGTGGGCCTTCCTGTACTGCAGAGGCTAGAAGGCTGAAAACTACATTTTCCAGATAACTTAGGGGCTGGATGCAAATTAAGTTCTGCCAATTAGATGCACTTGCATGAAATTTGGAGGGCAGAAGTGAGGCAGAGGCATCAAAGCTTTTGGCTACTGATGCTGGTAAGTGAGCCCAGGAAGACCGAGTGTGTCAAGAGGCAGTTGCCACAGCAACTTTGTAACCACCAAGTATCTACAGACAGGCTGTTTCTTCTTAAAATACCTGGTGGTTTCTGTTCCCCACCAAGCTCTGACCCACGTACTCTTCTTACAGCAATTATGGGAGATTCCCATGAGGCTCGGCATGGGGCTAATTTGAGGTCACATAGACCCCAGGGCAGGTTGGAATGGCTATGTTTGTCCGGACTTCAGAGGGAAGTCCTGTCCCTCAGCGTAGTGACCCCTGCACGGCCTAAGCAGCCCTCGCTGGACGGTGCTCTGAGAGCCACTAGACACCCCAGGGAGTCTCCTGTCCTTCGACAAAAACCTCCCACGATTCCTACAAGTACAAAGACTCCCCTACCTCGTATGTGGCTGAAAATGTGGTCATCACCACTCTACGCCTTCCAAAGAAGAAAAATATCAAAAATAATAGTTCTCTCTGAATCTGCTAGAAATTTTTTTTTTTTGGAAGAAAAAAAATCAATATGAAATGTTGAAGAATATTTAATTCCTCTTCATTTTTTGCATATGATGGGACTTGCATTTTTGTACAGAGCCTGCGAAGCCTGTGAAGACCTCCCTTGCTTTGTTCTGTTTCAGAGACATCTAGAGCTGGGAGGCAACAGGCATTGCCTTCCTCAGGGCTTAAGCAGAGGAAACACTTTAACAGACTTGCTGAGGGACCAATAGATCAGACAGATAAAAGCAGAGCTGCCCGGTGAAGTGGGGCTGGTCTGGCTGCATCCTCCCCAACGTCTCCACAGTCCAGCTAGTTCGTCCCCTCCTGAGACAGTTCCTGGGGAGGGGTCCATGCAGAGCCGCCAGAGCTGGGAGACCACAGTTTGAAAACCCTCTCATTTTATGAATAAGGAAACTGAGGCACAGAGAGGTGTGGTGATTTGCTCAAAGTCACACAGCTTCTATGTGTCAAATGTAAGGCTCAAACCCAGATCTTCCTGCGCCCACTGAGGTCAAAGCTCTTCCCACTAAATCATTCTGCCTCTAGTCCCTCTTGCCACGTTCCCAGGCTTCAAGGACTGGCTGAAGTCCCACCTTCTCTGTGACGCCTCACCTGCCCCCTCAGCCCACATCGATGGCTGCTTCCTTAGGTTCCACTAATTCCTACTGTCTGGCCCTCTCACCAGGCACTCCCTCACTTCCCTTATCTCTTATACTCTTTTTCTTCTTTCTTCTCCAAGATTTAAAATTCCTCTGGGCAGACCCCCCCCCCCATGTACTTGAGTACACCCCAGAATACACGGTAGATCCTCCCAGAGCATTGGCCATAAATACTGATTGAAACTGAGTAGCAAAGAATCTAATTGTTCCGCAATAGCCATTTTTCCATTATTCCTTTTGATACTAGAATCCCCCATCCTGAAGTTTAGCGCAACACGTGGCTGCCTAGCTAGAAATATGCCTCCAGCCCCCCTCGCAGCCAGGTGAGGCCATGTAAGCAAGTTATGGCGAATGGAAAGTGAACGGAAGCAGGTGCGTGACTGCCAGGTCATGTCTTTAAGAGGATGCTGCTTGCCCTCCTCCCCCTCTTTCCCCTTGGACTTGTTTGAGGTGGTGAAATGGCTTCGACCATGTGGAAGAGGGCAACACTCTATGGGATGATGACGCGTGAGATAAAAGGAACCACAGGGCCTGGGTGACCTCACGAGCAGAGCCGGCCTGGTCTGCCGCCTACCTCTGAACTCACGTGACATGAAGTCAGTGTGCACCTTCTGGAGTCTCTTTCTTACAGCCACTTACCACGTTCCTTGGCCACCGTAATGCAGCTATAAGGTCTGCCAACCTAGTTCACGTTGCTTTGTGACAATCAAACCAGATCATAATCTTGTAAAGTATTAAGTAAAATTCTGATATAAAATGTCACTGGACATAAAAGAGAGGAGACCCCTTACACAGGCGTTTGACTCCTTTGACAACATGTGCTGAACACGGCCACCAGCAAGGGACAGGTGGGGATTCTGACGCTGAGAGCTCTCAGGGACTGGGCCCCATCTGTCATCACGGCCATCACCCCTATAATCCTGTGAAGTGAGTGTTTTCATTCACATATCACAGGTGAGGACATTCAGACACGAGGAGGTTACCTCCCACGCAGCCATCACCCCCAGTGGGCGGCAGAGCGGGGACTGACGGCCAGGCCTGCCTGCCCCGGCCTGTGCCCGCCTCACCCACCGCCCGAGGCTCCCCTCCGGCCCACGGCTGCGGCCCCCAGGGACTCACAGCCCGTGTGCAAACAGATTCACAGACAACGGACGGGGCCCAGGCCAGAGGGAACCCGCGGGGGAGAGGCCCCGGCCCAGGATCCGGGGGTCCGGGAAGGAGCCGTTCCTTCCAACCGCGGGGACCGGGAGGGGCTTTGCGGAGGAACCCCCCCCCTTGCACTGACCTTTGAGAAATGAGTAGCAATGGATAAACAGAAAAGAGGGACAGACCCGAGCAGCTGAGGGGCCAGCACGAACAAAGGCAGAGCTGGGAAAGTGTCCCCGGGGGAGGGACGAGCAGCCGCGCGTGCGGACCGCGGGGGCGCTGCCTGGGGCGGAGGGGGAGGCCTGGGGCGCCGGGACCGAGCTGAAACGCTGCTTTCTGGGCAACAAGGAACCCCAGATGTTTGAGGGGGTGTCAGGCAACCCAGTGTGTGACAGCGTGAGGGAACAGGCGACAGAAAGGCCGAGCGCCAGTGGCGTCACGGAGGACGGCGGGCAGCGCGGATGCAGGAGGCGCGCGGAGCATCCCCGGCCGCCCGCTGGACGTGGGTCTCCGGGCGCGGAGTCTGAGCAGCCGGGGACAAGCCTGTTGGTAGAGCCCTCTACACAATTGGCTGCGTCTCATCTCCCGTTTTCTACTCAAATTACCCTATTTCTGTTTTCACCTTCAGGGAAGAGGATTATTTTGAGGGCGCGGTGTGTGCGTGCGTGTGTGTATGTGTGTGTCTCGTATGTGGTACTTAAGATAAAACAACATTGAAAGCCCCGGAGCCCGCGCACCCCGAGGCGGCACACGCAGGGCCACAGCCCTCCCCCGCGTGGCGCTGAGCTCCAGCCGCCTCCCTTGTTTTAAGTCAAATCCCACCAGCACACTAAAAACGGGTTCCAGCATCGTGCGCCTCTCGGCTTGTCAGGAAGGCAATGTGGCTGTTCTCTGGCTTCTGTTCTGTCCGGGAAGCGGTTGAGCTTCCTGGCAGACAACTTGTGGTAGATAAGGGTGCAAGGAAAACCTGGTGGCCACCTTTTGGGAGTAAGGCAGAGGGCCGGCGGCGAGCAGTGATGGCACGTGTTTCTGTAAGCCTCCTGTGCTCTCTCCCCCGACACACACTGAGGTTTCTCTTTCATGATGGTTTTAGCCTATTTTCTCCTTCTTACCGCCGACCACTCAATTCTTTGAGGGAAAATTAACATTCATTATGCAATTTATCTCTCTCCTTTTAATCCGGAGTGTCTGTCTCCAAGGTCCCCACTCAATAATTAATGTTTGTTCTCATTTCCCTTTCTCCAGAGCATCTCTTCTTGAACTGTAGGGTCAACAATTAGCACTAATTATGGCTTTCTCTCTCTCCAGCATTGGCTCCCAGAGTCCCAAGCTGCCCGGCTGGGCCTGAGTTGTGAGTGTGTGTGTGGCTGCAAGCGTGCTCCCCAGGTGGGCAAGACCAAGGAGCAGGTCTTCCAGGGCCCACCGCAGTTCAGCAAATCAATAAAACCAAACATTCTTTTCTGACAACCTCTAGTGTATTTATCATCAGCAGTGAGACAACGAAGCATACATGCATCTATCCATCAATGGATTTGAAATGAGTCGGGGGGTAGTGAGATGGAAGATCTCAAAATCCTTTCCAGTTTGAATTTTCTGATTCCCTCTGCCTTTTTCTTCCCTCTTGCTATCTCCTTGATATCTCACACACCTCTCTCTCTCTCACACACACACACACACCAAATTTCCCATTAAAAATCGTCTTCCATTTTGGATCCACTCAACTGACCTCTTTGCTGTCTATTACCTCTCCCTTAACTGTCTTTCTCTGGCCTGTCATCCTAAGTCTCTTTGGCTGTTAAAATAGCATTATTTTGACTGACAAGGACAGCTAGGGGAATCGTTCCCACACAAGGTGGCTGTAAGAGATGGCAAAAAACTTCATCGGGGCTGCACACAAGCCTGTCTGTCTTTTTGGCTGGAATCTGACATGCTCGAATCCCTCCCACCTCTCCTGGTCCACGCCTCATATGGGTGCCACAGCCAGAAGGTGGAGCTCCTCACACTGCCCGTCATCCCCCACTGCACACGCAGGGCCCCAGGCCTGTCTGCAGTCCAGACCCGGGCATCTCCTCACAGCAGCTTCAGCCATCAACTGTCTCCTGCTTGTGCTCCATCAAAAGTTCGCAGAATTTTAGCATCATGGTCCTTAAACATCTTGAATAAAACTATTATTTTCTTCAAGACTTTTTAGATCCTAGATCAACCTTCTCTCCAGGATGGCATCTACGGGGTTTCAGAACCATCCAATTCATTATGAGGCTTAAGCATCAAGGCCTCTACTGTGTTTTCCGCTGTCATGGGGTAAGGAAAATAGCTTTTTTCAAGACTTTCTCACACTCAAAGGTAAAACCCTTATTATTTTTCAGCCTGTGAATCTGTCAGTTCAAATACTGGCCAAGAAAAGGAGAGGTCTAGAATTCAATGTCCCCTAAAAGGTAAGCTTTTCCCCTGAAAAGTCAGCTCTATTTCTCCTCTATGTCATTTGACTCATGTACTTATTATTTCATACCTAGACCTCCAGAAATACACCATTTCTCCCCAGATATAGCAATAAGTAGGAAAGAGGGTCCTTTTGGACAGCCTGAGGACTGGGGCATCCTTGGCTGACCGCAGCCAGTTCCCCGTCTCCGGAGCTTCCTCTTATCTTTCCTCTGCCCCATGGAGAGAGAAGCGAGAACCAGGAGTGTGGGCTGGCGGGTAGCTCATCCTCCACCCACTGCTACTGCTGCTTCCGCTTCAGACCAGGGGAAAGGATGATTATGTGGAGGCGCTCTCTCTCTTAAAAATAGTCTTTGATGAATAGGGAACGTGTGTGGTCTTCCTCACTGCTTCTTTTGGGGCAGGCAGCAATGAATCCTGCATAAGGGACCTGCTGTAGTAACAGAAAGCAATGCCACGGATCGAGGGCTGGAGCCAGAGCTGGGTGGAGGAAATTGTTTTTGCCAGAGACTGTAAGACTAGAAGGAGGAGAGGCACAGTCATGTGCTGGCCCTTCTCAAAGTCTGTAGGTGGAGGAAGACTTGGAGCCTGGCATTCTTGTCCTTGGATGGACATCCTGACCATGCGGGAAGAGTTGCAGTGTCAGTTCTGTTCCTTCTCACTTGTCGGTCAGAACTGGGCCAGAGCAGCTCTTAATAGGAGCCCTCCAGTGAAGGATGCTGATGGATATGATGAGGACAATGATGATGATGATGGTGATGAAGAAGATGATGGCTACCATTTTTATCTATCGTTGATATGCCAAACATCATGCTGAGTGATTTATATTCATTATTTCACTTCATTCTCACAGCAGTGATGTGAAGTAAGTTCTATTATTATCCTCATTTTTCACCTAGGAGAATGTGGCTCAGAGAGGTTGACTGATTTGCCCAAGGTCACACAGCTAAGTGGTGAAGCTGGGCTTTGACCCCTAGGAAGCTGCGTTTTTACCGCTATGCATGGTTAGTGGTGATGTCAGTCTAGATAGGCGCGTTTCCATCTGACGATGTGTGAGAGTTTAGGAAGGTTCTGTTCATGACCCATACGAATAAATGGCTTCTGTTGCATAGCCTTTTCTCCCTCCAATTCCCCTTATCCAGCATCAGATACTCTTTTGTGGGTAAGACTGAAAATGATTTACAACTTTTAGAGACATGGGGAGAAGGGGAGAAGCTGAGAAAAAGTAGGAACAGTTTGGGAGAACCAAACTCTTGAGAAAGATTTTCAAGCAAGATAGGCCTGTTTAGAGGGTAGCTTTCCAGACCAAAAATATTCTTCCTAATGTGGCCCAAAATGTTACAGTTTCACTTCATTCTACTATTAAAATCTCACTAGTAGTAGATTCACTTTGAATTCAGAAGAATTCTCTCAGAAGGCTGATACTTCTGTGCAGATAATAGTCACCCACATGTTAGTAAAAATTTGCTTAATCACATGGCTGTCCTCTTGCAACTCACCTGAGAACAGCTGCTCTGAGGGACTGAAAATTCTGATGGGGTGGAAACAGAGGTGGGTAATTCCGGGCTAAGTAGAGTTTCAAAGATTGAAACAAGCCTGACTGGTGGCGTGCCCTGGAGGGCGTGGATGAACAGAGGATATTAGCTATATGGGGAGGAGGCACAAGAAGGAGAAAAGCACAGACAGGGAGATGTTAGAGTACCGGAGACAGACGGGGACCATTTCAGAATTGCCCCCCGGCGAGCTCTATGGCCAGGAAAGAGAAGGAAAACTTCTATTCCTTCTCATCTCTCCTGCTAGTAACTGAAAGACCCAAGGCTAATGCAAATCTCTGTGTTATTTCCCAGCTTTGAACGTACTGTTCCCTCTGCCTGGAGCGTAATTCCTCATCTCCTGTTCCCTGACATTTTTTTAATTGTGATAAAACACACACAACATAAAATTTGCCCTCTTAACCATTTTTAAGTGTACAGTTCAGTAGATTTACATTGTGACGCCACCAGTCTCCAGAACTCTTTTCATCTTGCAAAACTATGACTCTATAGCAATTAAATAACAACTCCCCCTCCCAGTGGGCCTGCCCGTAGAAGCACAGAGTATCTCTTTCAGGGCTTAGAATATAGGAAGCTGATTTGTTCCCTTGATTTGCTCAATGATCTTAACAAAACATTCTTACATCTCTTTGTGCTCAACATTCCCCATTTGTTTTTAAGAAAATGGATATAACACTACTCGGAAAGTATCTGATACTCCCTGGAATTGAGTTCAAAGAGCGATTTAAAACGTCTATTCATTGCAGTCACCTATAGAGCTTCCACAGCTTTTTGTTTTCTTTTGGGTCATTTGGTTTTAATGAATATTTTCAGGAAAAAATGAGAGGATTCTAAAAAATTATATAAATGCTGGACTTTGGGTATTTGTGGACTTGAAGTTCAGTTTCATCTATTTACAAATGACTTCTGAAGTCAGGGACACATACACGTGGTCATTTTATAGAGGCGCGACGTCAAATCATAGACATCACAAGGCCAGAAGACAGCAAACCAGCACTAAGCTGGTGGGGGCACCTAGCCCACCGCCGAGCGCCCACATCTCAGTGTCGTGGTCTATATTTATTGTAACATCTGCAATAGCTCTTGCGAAGTTGTTTTTTAAAAAGAACAACATTGATTTTTTTTATATATATATAAATATTTTTTAATGGCCCTAAAAAGAAAGCCAACTGCTAGGGCTGGTGATGGAAGTAAGAGAAAGTGAAGTGGTCTAACAATTTGATGATTCTCTGCCAAAAAAAATAGTTTTATAAATCACTCTAATCCTTTATTTATAGACTCATTAAGAGTCTGAAGAACTCTCCCTCTTTCTTCGTTTCTACTTTGGTTTTATTGGGGATATGATATACACTAGGGGTACCCACAAATCTAAGGATTCTGGGAATTCTCAGGACGCATCCCTCCCAGTAGCCAGCATCTGCCGTTCACTTAGCGTACGTATGACACACACGAGGAATCAGGGCCTTGCTCAGGCAGGGAAGTAGTGTTCAACACAATGCAATTTAAGGCTGGTATGAATTTTAAGATGTCAGTATGTGTATCAGGTATGTTTCTCAACCTATAACAAAGTTTAGAATATTAATTTTTCTTCTGTCAGAGTGATCGAAAAATTATAACTTTCATTAACTAGTAATCCATAAATACTCTTTTCTTTTTCATCACCCTTCAGACATTTGGCCTAGCTTCTCATCAAAAAGACCATAAAGAAGCATGAGGCTTTTCCTAAGGACTTTTTTTCCTCCTAGTTTCTCTCTTGCTTCTTTCACACATCTCCCTGTGGTCTAGGAATTTTCATCTGCTGTTGTCTTAGTTCTCTATAATTCCTCATGTGGAAATTAAAGAAGACAACAGCATCAGAACATGTCCAATAGAAAGAATTAGTGAATCTGTTTTACAAAGCACATAAAGATTGCTCATTCACTCATTCATTCAATAAAAACTAATTGACTATCTACTAATGCCAAATACTGTTAGGCACAAGAATACAGTTGAGAGACAAAGTCCATGCCTTGAAGTGGTCTCCAGTCGTGGAATGCGCTGAGAGCCACGGAGGAGCACAGGCTAATGCGGCCTGAAGGGTAGGAAGGCTTTTGGAAAGAGAGGACCCTTAAACTGAATTTCTAAGGATATATGTAGGAACTAGCCACGTGGAGAAGAGGAAAGGGTGCTCCAGAGAGAGAGACCATATGAGGGTCAGAGAACATGTCGACATGGGAGAAATGTAAGCAGCTTGTAATGACTGGCGCCCAGGGCACACGGAGGGGAGGGAGTGGTGAGAAACGCTGCTGGTGGTGTAGACAGGAGTGAGACCATGAACGGCCATGGGTAGCAACTAAGGAATTTATCCCAAAGGCTGTGAGATCCTGTTTATGCAGGAATTGATATAACCAGATCTTTGTTTTAGAGAAATGACTCTCCCAGCCATGTAGGCAATGGATTGAAGCGGGTAAGACTAGAGGCTGGGAGACCAGATGTCTATACTTGTTTGCGAGCAAGTAACCAAGGACAATATTTCCTGTAGGATTAAGACCACCACACGAATTGAATGGGTTGGCTGCTTTGTACGTAGCTCCACCTTCAGCCTCTTTTTTGAATGCCCTCCTTCCACCACAGGTGTCCGTATTAATCCTATAATGTATCTCGATTGGAGGCTTTCTCACGTAGTGGATATTTTGTTGCTACACAACTTGAATTTAAATTTCATTATCTGGTTGTCTCCCATTTTGGGCTTGGTAAACTGCCATGTACCTTTGGACCTCTATCCCCCATAAGAAATAATTTATGAGCTTTTGAGAGAAGTTGGTGTTCCCAAAACTAAAGCCAGACCCTTGAGACTGTGCTAACCTTGGTCGAAGAAGATATAAGCAAGGGAAAGAACTGCTATTCCAGACTGGAAGAAAAACATTGCCCTTGCATTTAGTAGGCATTTCCATATTTAAATTCAGACTGACTCGTATCTTCTCGATCCGCCTACTTGCCTCCTTTAATAGAGCTCCCTGGGGTGTGTCTTGAGCCTGGAGACTTTCTCAGGTTTGAGCAGCTGTTTGACATGCCCATTTCACCCTCCTCCTCCTCTTCCAGGAAGATTTAAAGGGAAAATGTATAGCATAAACAAGGTCTTAAGTCTTGTCTTGAGAATTTGATACTGGCAACACCAAGAGGCCATCTTGGGTCTTGGTCTCCTGCATTAAACAAGCAGACTTGAGATTTATTATAACACATCAAACACTCTATAGGTCATAAGCATCTTGAGCCATATCACATAAAATAAAGTATTTTTAGAAATCATTCTTAAGGAAAGGTCAGCAGGGCTATGTAAAGGGACCAGAATTATCCTTCCTTTTATGGTTTAGTTTATACTGGGAAAAAATTTTTTTTTTTTGCTAATCTGGAGTTTGCCATTGCATTTTCCATTTTTGACCAAAAATACAAAACCATGAAGGCGCAAAGGCTGACTTTCAGGCCTCCTCCCATTGGTTTCCGCCAGGGCCAGTGAGTCCACGTGCAAAGGCAAAGACGCCTTCTGAGATCTGTCTGGCACTGGGCACATCCGCAGTGGAGTTCCGTCTCTGTTCTGACGCCAGATGGGGCCCAGCAGAGCATCGCATGCTAAGGAAAATAAGAATTCTGAAACAATGAGAATAAATATGACTATGATTCATTTTTACTTAAAACAATCAACAACAACTTGGGAATTAATCATCAACATAGGTTTAAACAGAAGGAAACTTTGAGGTCCCAGATGCCATGCTAGAATCAGATGCTCTTTCCTGCTTTTCAAGTTTTGAGTGTTTGGTGAAGGATCCCATGCTTTGAAGAAGGCAGAGGAGGTTTGGGACAAGACCCCGTCCAGGGAGGGTCATCTGTGAAGCTGCCTGGTTATCTGGTAGGAAGGCTATCTCCTCGCTAAAAGCCTGTGCTTAGATTAATGCTAGCGTTTGAAAATCTGCTCGGGCCTGATGGTGGGCAGCCAGGGAAGGAATGTGTTTTCTGTTTATCTCTTTAGTGGCAGAAATGTTCATTATAGAAAGACTCTGAGCTCCTGGGTTCAGGCGGGCCGGGAAGTGCTGTCTGTAGCCTGTGAGTGTACACAACAGCTCCAGAGCGGTGAAAAAGAACCGGCCCATGTTCACAGCCAGTTGCCTGCGTTGGTTGAGGGCTTAATCAGTTTCTCCAGCTTGATAACAGGGGTAGAGCCTGCCGCACTGTTTGGAGAGGACGTTTGACCACCCCCATTGCTTTATCTCCCAGGAATGCAGCTCGAGTCGTGTCTCCTCCTTGACAGCTCGGACCTCAGTAAATTACCAGGGTCTTGACCCAAGAGATGGAGAAGTCCTAAGCGATTTTTCAGTCTCCTATCTAAAAATGTGTTTACATTTCTTGAACTCTGGCTGACTGATTCATTCTCTTGGTGTTGCAAGAACTTTCCTTATGCCTTAGAAATTTATAAGTTTAATTTCTAAGAGACCCAGGGTTCCTTCCAAGCCACAGTGAAGTGAACCTCATCGCAACGCAATTCTGCTGGGCCGGGTTTGTCCAGAGGATGGATCGTGGCCAAGCAGCTGCGATGTGGCAAGCTCAAGTGGGGCTAACAGGAGGCCGTGGGACGTGGAGGGAGGAGGACGAGATGCTGAGTCGGGAGATCTGGGTTCGGGTTCTGTTTTGTGCTATTTCAAGGTATGGCCTTGAGCCAATCACACAAAACCATTCTGTGAGCCTCAGTTTCCCCAGCTGTTGTAAATAAGAAATGTTTTAAATCTGGGCCATTTTCAAATAAGACAGGACAGCTGAGAAACAACAGAAAAGGAAAGGTCAGCCCACAAGGAATGAGGAGAGGCTTTGGGTCAGAGAGACAAAGATGCAGAGCCACATATGGCCATAGACTCCTAAAAGGGCCACTTATGAGCAGCAAGTACTGTGGAAAGAAATTTTTGTTGGACACTGGTCCCACATGAGAGACTGACATCCTTGTCAGAGGGGCCATGTGCTTAGCTAAATCTTTTCCTCAAATAAACATTCCTTTATAAACATTAAATTTACTTTCTTAGGGGAAACAAAGAAAGACAAAATACAGCTATCCTTTTGCAGCTTGGGGTTTTCAAGTCGGGCAGTCTTGGGATCGAATCGTTCCTCAAAATCTCCCTAGTCGTACACCCTTGGGCGGGTCACTTCGCGGTGTGCACCTTGGCTTGCACACTTGTTACAGTGGTGGTAACATAGCAGTGGAGAGGAGTCACGGATCACAGGCTGACCCCGCTGGGGTCAGTGTGGCCCTGCTTCCTGGGGATCTGAATTCCCTTGGTCCCCTCCCACCAGCACCACTGTGACCTTTGCCCTTGTTTGCATGGTGTCTTCACGTCTCCTGTTGCCCCCCTCACCCCCCCACTACGAGGAAAAAGGGAAGTCTCTGATCTCTACCTGGAAGGTTGCAGAAGCATTTTCCTACTTCAGTAAAGTACAATCATGCAAAATTTATATTCAACAGCATCAGCAGATTTTTTTCCATCAATATTTCCTTTTTAATTTCAGCTTTATCTGAATTTTGGTAGCACAAAGAATTTACTTTTGTTCTTTTCAAGAGAAACCAAAACAAAAAAATTAAAACTTGCATATCAGCTTTTAACACTATGTTTAACATGGAGTTTAGACTGTGCCTATAGAGGCTGTGGGTATTATTTGGTGAGTAAATATGGATGCCATGGTGTGGGGGCGGGGATGTTTATAATCTTACACATGTGAACTAGCTGTATATGTATATGGTATATGTAAAAATTCATGAGACCCAGATCTGACAACCTTGATCCTTTTCTCTATGATTTTCACCATAGCAAACACTGAATCTGGAACCGATCGTCACACGAATCTTAATGAAACCTCACCATTGACCCAAAAGCCAGAGAAGCAGGTACAGTATTGGCTCTGAATGAGCATGAGACTGGGAGTTAGGACATTTGGGTTCTTGTCCCAGCTTGCTGTGTGACCCTGGGTGAGATTCTTCACCTCTCTGGGCCTCATTTGCCTCATCAATAAAATGAGACAAGTGGACTATAAAATCACAGGGGTTCCTTAACTCATAGACTTGGAATGTCTTAACTCAACTTGGACTGTTTTGTCTGGCTCTTCCTGTGTGTGAATAAGCTGAATAGGCCTTTCCCTGCCTTCTGCGAAGTCAAAAAGGGGAAATGCGGGGAGGTGTCCACCATCGAGGCAGACTTCGTGCCAATGGGCACATTTTTCCACCCCAATTCTCATTCCTAATGGGGAGAAAAAATAGCAATCAAGAAAAAAATGAAAGGATACCACGAAGAAAGGAGAGAAAGCTTCATCTGGCTGGATTAGGAGTATCTGTTCGTGGTTTGAGGACATGTGTTCACAAATGTTTATAGGTTTGCTGCTTCTTTGGAAGCTCTGAGGCTGCTTCTGTCTTCAGACTGTCTCTAGAGAGACGACTGGGGGGCTTTCTAGAGCTGCACGCGGGGGTCTCAGGGAGCCCGAGGCTCTGGGGTCTCTCCCGCTGGGCCGCAGCCGGGGGTCAGAGCGGGAGGGGGCCAGGAGCTCTGGTGCCCCTTATCTCACTTCCTGCTGCACCTGGCTGTCTCCTCTTCCCTTGAACTCCTTAAACCCGATAATAATAAAAGCCGTTTCTTTCCCCCTGTGGGTCTGGGGTCCGCGGAAGCCCTGGCCCTCGCGTCGGAGCCCAGCCGGTCCGGCCGCGCCGGGCACAGCAGCTGAGCCCACCCTTCCCGCTCCGAGGAACCACAGCGCCCACCCGGCACTGCCGTTACGGCCCCCTGTGAAGACACCCCTAACGAGGGACCTAGACGCTTTTCTTTTTCAGGAGGGTCTCAGACTAAGGAAAATGCAATACGCTCTATTTTGATAATTCCACGGCTCCGAATGCCTTGCAGATGCCCCCCACCCTCTGAACACACCCCAAATCCACACAGCCCTGAACACGCCCCAAATCCACACAGCCCCGCGCCTGTGCCTCAGACCGACCACCACCTGCAGCCTGTGGCTCAGGCGCGTCAGATTGAGGCCCAGACTGGAGATGACCCTGGCAGTCAGCAGGAGGACACCGGACCCGGGGTCTTAAACCCTGATCCCCGTTCCCGGAGGGGCGGCAGACCCTCCCACCGGAACCCCATGTGCCCGCCTTTGTGAACGGAGGGGGCTCCCACCGCAACCGGTGGTTCGTTCAAGCCACAGGAGCCTTATTTCCTATAAGGAGCCCCCAAAAGGAAAGCCATTTGAGGAAAAGTCTAGGGAGCCCCGCCAGCCCCCAAACACAGAGAACAGGGGATAGGGAGGGGAGGGTCTGCCTTGCCCCCCCCCCCCCCCCCCCCCCCCCCCCCCCCCCCCCCCCCGCCTGGTACTTCTTGAGGCTAAAGGCCCTTTATTAGATTAATCACTGACTTCAATTGTAACTACTTCCTCAACCTACTGCGTGTAAATGACTAATTTCATGTTTGCTATAAAGCATCTGGAAAGGATTTAGAAACAAATTTCTGCCCAGCAGATTTCAGTTACGACCCTGATGGGCCGCTGGCGAACCCCGCGGATTCCCTCCACGGTCGCCTCGCCCCTCTGAGCGGGCTAGGATGTCACACAAGTCCATCTTTATCAGCATTAGCAGTTCTGCTCCTCGCTCCTTCCCATTAATCCCCGCTGACTCCCCACTCCCTCCGCTCATTGGGGTCTGACCATATTGGGAGTTCAGTCGCACAAAATACTTTTACTTTTTTATCACTGTGCTAGCTGCGAGGGAAAAAAGACCCAAAGGTGGAATCTTTTGGCATCACCGTGGTTTAACGAGAAGTCACAGACCTAGATTTGGGAAGTTTCTGATGGGTGGGTGAGAGAGAAAGCCGCAGGAGCTTTGCAGCCGAGACACGGTTCGCGGGTTCGCGGGTTCGCGGCTCCGGGGCCGCCCCGGGCGCCCCCTCCCTGTCGGCCCCAGCACCGCCGCCGCGCGTGTCCGAGGGAGGCCCCGGTCCGCACGGATGGCTGGGGCTCCCGCCCCCAGCACACAGGACTAGCTCCGGGGACACCCCTTCCACACCCAGCCGAGGATCAGGGCCTCGGCGGTGAACCCATAAACAGAAATGAGAGGAGCAATTGACATCAGCGGCTTCCTAGCAGCCGGAGAGGGGTTAGGTGGGGAAAGAGCGGGAAGAAAGCTACAAGGGGAAATGTGGAGATGAAAAGAGCAGTGAAAAAAGAGAAAGGAGACAAGCAGACATGTTTCAACTCCGAGCTCCCATTTCCTCTTTCAAATGAACTGCCTCCCCACTGTGAACAGAATCAAGTATTTATGAAGGCATTTTTTGCATATTAATAGCGGCTTATGGAGCATTGCCAGTTCTGAAGTCCTAAAGGTATCGTGCCCTTCTTTTAATGCAGGTCCTTCAAACTCCTGGCAGAATTGAGTATTCTCCTTCACGTTTATTTTCCTCTCTGCCTGTGGCTCCTCCTAAGGCCTTTCATTTGATTACGGGAAATTAGATCCTGGGGTACTGTCAGGGACGAATACTGCTCTCACCTCGGTGGCCCACGTCAATAGCCAGAAGGTTCTCCTCTTCCCCGAGGCCTCTCTGTGCAGAGGCCGCAGGTGGAGTCAGGTGACCAGCACCTAAAAGGAGTAGTAATATTGTAACTGAAAATTCTAGCAGGAAACGTTAACACATCTATGCTGTGGAGGGAGAAAGTAAAACTTTATAATAATTGCATCAACTACAACAGCATTACTATCTATACTCGGTCAAGATCACATTCGATTTTAAAAGAAAAATATTGAGAACCAGTTAGAAAAATAAGCAAAAGACATAAACAATTCATATCGAAAATAATAGTAATAGAAAACGAGTATGGAAAAATATTCATCCTGAGTAGCAATTTAAATGCAAATTGAGGCAAACTGGTGGTCCCATTTTATATCTGACAGGTGTGCCTCCTCTCACTTTTTTTAATGGCAACACCTAGTACTGCCGAGGTTTTGGTAAAACACACTCTTGGTGGTTTGTAATCTGGTTCAACCCACTTGTAAAGACAAATGGCAATTTGACTCGTGAAACGTGAACAAATATTCAGACCCATTGATTCAGTATTTCTGACTTCCGGGAATTTATCCTAAGAAAATAATTCAGCAGAAAAAAGTGAGTGGAGATGTCCATTGCAGCATTTTCTGTAATAGAGAAAAATTGGAAACAGCCTAATAGTCCGACCTCAGAGAAATGATTGTGACACGTCCCTCTCGGTGAGGGGTTAATTCAGGCATTAAAAGATGATGCTTCTTCAGACTGGAAACTGGTGGGATGCTAATGGCTGAATGCAGGGTTCTCACCCTCATCAGCACCGACATTCGGGGCCGGCTAGTCTCGGTTGTAGGGCGGGAGGCTGTGGAGCAGCTTCCCTGGCCTCTACCCCCAATTGCCAGGAGCACAACCGCCCCCTAGTTGTGACAATCGAGAATGTCTCCAGACCTTGCCACGTATCCCCTGGAGGGTGAAATCCCTTCCAGCTGAGAACCACCAATTTAATTTTAAAAGTGGAAATCAAAGTGGTGTCAACTATGACTACAACTATGTGAAAAAATAAGGAAAAGAGTTGCAAATAATGCATGTAAAAAAGTGCAGTCATGTTAACTTGAAATTAGGGTGTGTTGGATTGAGTTTTTTGTTTTTATTGTCTTCCTGATTTTTCATTGCTTTTCACTTTTTTCAAAATTCTCCCTGTAAGAAGGAAAATGGATCATGAGGATACCTGGTTTTATTCAAGTCTGGCTTATAGCCATCTAGGATCACAGCAAACAAGCATACAGCAAGCTAAACCAGGGTCAACACCGTAGTGCCATTATTTTGTAACTACTGTTAGTTGAAATTATTTAATATTAATTAGGTTTTTATTAGATCAATTTTTGGATAGGGCTATCAGAATTCTCTTTTTAAGGACCTCAACTCCTTTTCAGCATTTTATCCCTCTGATCCTAGACTTTGGGGGACAATGAATTCGCCTCTTTTTCTGAAAAGTCTGGATCTCAAAGTATGAAAACTCTTGTCCATCAGACCCATCTAGGTAAGCTTGGGCCAGGAGGCGCCCGGCGCCCACTGGCTTATAGAGCTGTCAGGGCAGAGAGGTTGTCAGGAAGGAGGATCAAAGTACAAGCTCAGACTTTAATTAGATTTCCCAAGAATCGTTGTATCTGTGTAAAATGAGAGAGAAACCATCTTGCTGGTTTTCACATTGTCAGTTGGCTCCCTTTGTTAGGAAGAGCAAACATCCTTTCTCCCTCGCTTTGTCCTGGGGTTTGTCTTGTTGCTTTGTGGGGATTAGAACTTTGGTAGGGTCCTAAAAATCCTGTAACACCGGAATTATGTCCCTTTTTCCTATTTCACAAAGCCACTTCTATTTCCACCTGTACTGTCTCTTGAGTTCAGATTTCATGAGTTTACAACAGTATAAATTCATAGTTGGTCTTACGTGTCCTAAATTTACCTCTTTTGGATTCACGGAGTGGCCTGCAACTCTAGCACACACAGATTTAGGTGGAATAAACCTGTGTTCACCCCATCTGCTTCCTTGGTGGTTTCACAGACGGTGCTCATGACTCCTTTCAGGATGAAAAAACACCTACAGACACACTAAGTTTTTGTAGAGGGTACAAAGGTACCCTTTTGTTTCAGTGTCCTTCTGAGCCATGCCCTGCCTTCTGGTGAACTTTTTGGCTGTTATCTAAAACAACAAGCTACTAATCTTTAAAGACATTTTTTTTTCTTATTCTGCTTTATTCACTTTTGTACCCCTTGTGTTTAGCACAGTTCCTGGCACGCGGTAGCTACTCAGAAAAATAATTGACAAATAAATCTTTTGTTGACATCAAGGTCTACGTCCCGGGTGGACGTCCTC